CAATACGAATCTACGACGGGATCTTTAAAATATATAATTGTTAAAACTTGTTATTATTGTTACAGGGTGCCAGGGAACTCCGTCTCGATATCACGGGAATCGTCAACTGTAATGCAGAGGTCTCTTGCCCTGTCAACTATTACATCACTTTCGAGGCCAAAGATCTCGACATGAATGAGCTCGATCAGTATGAAGCCATGGTGGTCACCAGAGTCCGTCATGACGACGACAATGTTCCAATCTTCAGGAAAAAGACCAAACCAACTAATCCACCAGTGCCCACAGAGGTATAATTCCTGGTTGAGACATGCCAATTTAATTTGAACAGAAGCACACATGCATGGTTCGCTTCTTAGTTTTTGTCCTCTTTTTTTTATGCAAGAAACTAAAGCATGGTTGTCACCGGAAATTTGGCTAGTTTTATTTGCCAATGAGACAGAGGCGGAGCAACTAATAATATGCTTACTTTCCCCTTCTTACCATCTTCTTGGTCTTGCCAATGAGACAGAGGCGGAGCAACTAATAATATGCTTACTTTCCCCTTCTTACCATCTTCTTGGTCTGTGAAGGGTGTGTGGACGCACACACATGTTCATTCTAAAAGCTTGTGCATTTTTTAGATTCACAAATAATGGCCTCTTTATGTTGCGAACTGTCCCTATTTGCTTCAATTTCTGATGCACTTATCATATCAGCTTATATTCTCAATAATTATAATTTCAATGGTTAAATTTTCACCTTCACCTCCTCAGCACGTTCTCCCTTCACATGGTTTGGTGGCATTAAGGGATTGCTCGTATCATTCAGCGTCTTATTGGCATGATTGGAGTCTACTCATTATCAAGATTTAAAAATTTGACCAATACCATTTTGCATATACCAAATTGGAGAAGGAGCCTTTCAATCCTCTATCACTCTCTACATCTTGTTCAGTATGCAATAATTTCAATCAAAACATGGCCTGTTTTGGCTTTTTTGGGTATGCAAGGCAGATTGGACATATAGAGCAATTTATTGTGCAAAGTCAAATTGAGTATGTGAATGAATTCCCATTGAGAATTGCATCCAAGGATGGGATCATCCAAGCTAGATATCTAGTTTAGACCAGCAATATTATATCGTTTTATTGATTTAAATGAATTTTTTGATGAGATGCATGAGCACTTCAAACCCGATTGAAAAACATTTAGGGTCTGTTTGGGAACATGGGTTTTGGGTCCTGGATTTAAATCTAGGGTGGCACAAATGCATATCTCATGTTTAGGCATTCTTTTGGGCATGCATTTAAAATCAAATTGTTCATGTGGCTGGATTTTGAAGATCTCATGTTTAGGCATTCTTTTGGGCATGCATTTAAAATCAAATTGTTCATGTGGCTGGATTTTGAAGTCCAAAATTGTTAAATTGATTACCCTGTCTGTACCAGTGATTTGTGGAATTCCAATAGTTTTTCATCTTAATGGTCATCTCCGCTTTATCTCATTAAGGAGCCTTGGCTAGGGATGAGCAAACGATCAATTGGTTTGATTTTGTTCAAATTTTGACAAACCGATACCAAACCGTTAATGATTCAAAACTGAACCAATCCATCCTAAAGCAGTTCGGTCAGCTTAGTTTGGGTTTGTTTGGCATTGGACCAAACTCTGCACAAAATAATGTAACCTGAAGTTTTATGCTCCCCGTTACCTAAAGACCTCAAATACCAATGGAACTAGGAAAGTTCTATTTGTGTTGCTTAATGTCAGGATCCTAGTCCGAAATGAATACAATGCTTAAAGTGTTTTCCAAGACTCAGACTTTTAACTTTCGCCACTACATTCAATTGCTATTTCATGTAAAGATTTACATTTGGTTCCAAGCCCACCCAATTCTAAAGTGCACAATTTATGAACTGAAGTCGCCAAGCCTAATTCATGTTGAATCATTGATAAAAAGAATGACCTTGGTGTATTTATATGAGTTAAACTACCACAATAATAGCTGCATAAGTTTTAGGAATAGACATGGATTTAGTTTGAAGTGTTTTATTTGGTGCAAATGAGTTCGATCAGTTTGGTTTTAAACCGAACCATATTTTTAAAATCTGAATGTCTGAACCGAACCACTAAACTTCGGTCAGTATATTCGGTCTAAGCTGAACTCCTAAATCTCCTAAAACGCTAACAACCTCAAGAGACAACTCCAATGATGGCGAACTTCAAAGACACTGACGACGAACTTCGCGGAGCCCATTTTTTAAAATCCTCCCACTCGATTTTCTTTCTCTCTAGTTTCTTTTGTAACAGGTTAATTCTTTTACCCTTTTCTTCTTGTCAACTCAGTTCTATTTCTGGGGTTATTGCATTAACTATTGTGATTTTGACTCAGTAATTTTCGCCTTCTTGGATGGGTTCGTTTCTAAAGGATTCTTCCAGCAATTATTTTCTTTTTTTTTGACTGATTTATTTGGATAGGTTTGTTATTGAGATGTGGTTATGAAGATTGACTGTGTATTTAATATTTACTGTCATGATTCTAACTGCACAGTTCTGAACAAAATACCATTGTCAAGATTTGTTATGCTAGCCATATTTTTTTTGGTTGGAGAAAAGTCAAAAAGTTTTGTTCAAAATGTCGATTCTTTGTGGGATACATGTTTGAGCAGTAAAAGCTCTTATTGCATGAAAAACACTAGTTCTTGAATATGACAGTGTAAATGTGTAGCTTCTATTTCTGCAATACTGTTGATGCATGTTAAATCATATTTTGCAGCATGGACCAAGTGACTCAAATCGCGCAGTTGGGGACCCAAGCAATGTTTGTGAGACCTGAAGTTGGGACCAAGGGGCAAGAGAGGGGAAGATTGCGACGGATAAGAAAGGGATTGTTTGTGAGACCTGAAGTTGGGACCAAGGGGCAAGAGAGGGGAAGATTGCGACGGATAAGAAAGGGATTCTGAGATATGGTCTCTTTTAGTCAGTTCATATTGTTATGTTATTTTGGCTCATTGGACAGAGCTTGGTTGTATTGTATCTATGGTATATTATGTTTGCAATGGTGTCTTCTATGGATTGTATGCTAAAACTTTACGAGTCTGTAAGAAAGATCTAGTCTGGTTATGTTAAATGCTAAAGAGTTGAGAAACTCGTATTTCTTTCAAGTTGTGTGGTTTAGTTATTTTATATGCGGGGTTTAATAGCATGACTAAGATGATTGCACGAAATGGTTTGATGATGTCCTTTTGTTTTTTAGTTGTAAGCAATTGGGTTTGGTGTAAAGCTGCATTCAAAAGTTTGACATTTTTTGTTGTCCGATGGGAATTGGACTTGTTAAACTCGTATTCCTGTTTTCTTACAGTGGATTCTAGTGGGAATAACACATTGTTGATTTTGGAGCAATTGATTCAGAGATCAAATCTTTTATAGCGTAGCGCGCGAACTTATTCCAAGATTTACCACTAATTATTTTTGGGGGAGTTTGGGGCTACTAGTTCACCACTTTTGCTTAGGGGAGGAGACGAACCAAATATTTAACAAACAGCTTGATTTCTAGTTGCTCAAGTATTTGGTCATAATCCATTTGATTGTTCATTTAATAATAAATGAATAATCTTTGTTATTTGGTTCATAAATGAATAGAAATTAACTATAGGTATATTCAATTTGTTTGTTTAATAAACTATTCATTTATACAATTTAGTCATTAAAATTTGATTTCGCTGCTCGTAAATATAAATAAATGAATTTTTATTTGTGAATATTATATATTAATACGTTGCATATTCATCAGGTGTATCATGTTTGGCTCTATTGCAAGACAAGGATAACATATATTTGTTGAATATCTAATGAATATGGACCGAATAATTTGCAAAGATCACACAAACACTGTTAACGAATATTCGTGAATAGTTATCGAATATTCGAAATACTATCAGAGTCGAATTTGAATTTTGATTTCATGTTGGTTTCGAATTCAAATACAAATCTGAATAGTCGAATAGGAATAGGGACCGAATACGAATATTGCGGTATTCGATTCGAATTTGGTTTGTCTCCACCCTACTTTTGCTGTGCACTCTTTTTGTTGATGATTGTTTCACAGATCCAACATTTTGACCATCTGCAAAATCAAATGTGTATGTTTATTATGATACTCTCAATTACTCATGTTATGTAACAAGAAATTCCAATAAACTGCAGAACTGATATGTATGGACATAGCGAAACAACCCAGAGACAACCTTCTTCGTCCTTTTTTTTCTTTTTTAATTTAAAGTGAAAGAACCCCCACAGACAATCTAAATAAGTTGTTATAACTGATTAGTCTTTAAAACTCATTGCTCGAGTTGAAAAATTCTTTCCAGTGTATGCTACTGCCAAGTCTCATTTCTTCTTTCGTTCTTAGGTCTAGCAAGTAAGTGTTGCACATTATGGCAATCCACAACATTCCCATCCGAGGTTTAGCACTTCAAAGTTTTCATGGAAATACATGGTACATTATTAAATGATGTACGGCTTGAATAAGGTTGCCCCCAACTTACAGTTACTTAACCCGAAGGAAGCTTATATAAGCGGCAAGTTTTGTACATCTTACCTGAAACCACTTGTTCAATTATTTTTGTTCCATATTATCTTATAATCTGATCAACAACAAATGTGACAACTGCAGAGCGCCATTCTCAAGTGAAGGTAAACTAGTGGCACGATGATGCAGCTTACACAAGTTCAATATGGGAGAGAATAGAAAACTATAGGAAGTCATTTATGATATTAAATTTTCTCATAACATATAAATCTTAAGAAGGCTACACTATCAGTAATAAATCGCCAACCTTAAACGCCCCTTCATTTTCAGGGATGAAAGAAATGCATGATTCAATCTTCTAAGATTGTATAATTAATATCATCTAAGGAAACAAAACTGGGAAGAACATGAGAGGACTAGAATAATAACTTCCAAACATCATCATGTAAGTCCATAGTCAGAAGTTATCTATCATTAAAAGCTAAATGAGTGCCTTGATTTAACACAACCTGCATTCCACATCAAAGCTTACCTTGTCAGCCAATAAACTATATTATACAAGATCCAAGTTATCAAGGGATTCATCCTAAAAGATATAGCGAAGAAACAGTTAAACATTTCACAATAAGTCCAAGAAATATAGCAAGTACGTAGCATGCAAGTAATAGACTATATCATACAAAAAAGAGATCTTTGATTCATTTATATAAATGTCATTTAACGTTCTTGAACCATCTCTGCTCTTGTCTCTCTGCTCCTTTCCATGTCCTCAGTCATCTAAATTCATGAAAATAAACTAAAGTTAGCTAAGGCAATAGGATGTCAATTTTTCCTAGCACATAATACGAGCTTGTTCAATGTGCGTGTAAAGGAGAATGAAGGAAGCCTCCTGATGCAAAAATGTGGATAAATATAAAGTTTTCTATAAAATTGTTTATAAGTAAAATGACCAATATAGCTGAAACTTACCAAGCACAGGGTAGGAAAATCTAGTTAAAATTGATTTTTCGCCTGGAGGCAAACTTGAGTCTCTACATATTCGACAATAACCTTCGTCACCCCATTCCTCCCCCCAACTATTCATTACAATCCAATAGTTAATGCCATTGTCTTCACCATAGCCCACAATAACCATTGCATGCGAACCTTGAATATGACGGTTCGAACCCATGTAAATTGTACCCTGAAAAGAAAAAAGAATTAATGAAACAAATTAAATTAATAAATATTTGCATTACATCATCTGCTAACTCTAAAGATACTCATTGTCTTGCTTGGCTTTTATTTGCATTATCAGCAAGAAAAATCACAGAGAGAATTAATGAAATAAATCAAACTATTAAATACTTGCAATACATTGTCTACCAACTCTAAAGATACTCATTGTCTTGCTAGGCTTTCATTTGCATTATCAGTAAGAAAAATCACAGATCTCATGTTGTAGCTATCGATCTAAATAGTAAATATAATTTTTACCAAGTTCAACATTTTACCTTCTCTAAATTTAAGAAGTCATCTGTAATCTTGATTACGCAGCCTACCGGGTGCTTGCTCACATGGGAGAGGAGCATCACTTCATCTCCATTAGCAATAGTATGATAACCTTTTATCTTGAATGTTTTTGTGTTCTGAAAATAGAAAATCTAAGCTATAATATTCTTTTCCAATTTGGTAGAAAAATTAAATGCGATATTTGAGTTAACTAAATAACCCAATACTATTACCTCATTGCGCTCGATGCATTCTCCTCTTTTCTTAACAAAGGGACAGTCTTTTTCATATAGCACACCCCTTGTCATGATATATCTAAAAGCCCTGTTGATGGACCCATAGTAACACCGAACTTTGTCGAACACAGGAGTGATACCAAAATGTATAAAGTAACAATTGATGATATCTTGTGGCGAAAGCCAAGGCAGGTCTTGCTCCCTGTGAGCAATCTTATACATGGCTTCACAACACGTGCATGCGGTGATGCACCAGCAACAATCTAGAATAAGTGTTCAACGTTATTAATTCAATCAACTAGATGGAATAAGTGCTAAAAGAAGACATAATAGGAAAGGGGAGCCTATGATTTGGATGAAAAAAACAAGAAAAAAGTTTCACATGGAAAAAAAGGGACTAGTAAATAACAAATACCGGAAGATAATGGCAAATCATGTTGTTTTTAGAAACAAGGAACATCTATCAAAGCCAGTAGCTTGTATTCTGTGCTAAGTACTATCAGAAGGGCTATATGTACAAAATGTAACACTTATCGTATAACGAACGTTCTTAGGATACGGATGAATCACATGGTACATCCTCTCATATTGTATGAGAGTGAAATTAACTGCAAAAACTAAGAGGTATACTTGTTACTATTTTTTTTCATTGGGGTCATGCATAACTACCACATAAGGTGAGGTAGCTTCATAAAATTAAAGTTGTCTTCAACTTCTGCTACAATATTTGACCAGTAAAAATAGCTAATCAAGTGTGATTTATACTTTACAAAATAATAAGCATCTGATCATTGGCACTTTTGGAACCTCAGCTCGTGAGAACAGGGGGAATATTTGCAGTTTAGCTTTCTCAAATTGAATAAGAACACCAAAGATGATCAGGAGATGATAAATATTAGTGAAGATATAAATGAGAAAACTATCGTTGTATGAAATCCCTAAATAAAATTCCTACGATTATGTCATGCATTACATAGGTTTAGAGCTTAAAAAAACAAAAGCAAATGATTGGTATTATACTGGAAGCAATTAATATTAATATGATTTTTTGCCCGTCGTCATTGATGAGAGGCGATCGGTGACACCCACCGTCAATTTTTTCGACGGGGAAAAATTAGGGTTCCGGCGTTCGTTTCGGAGGGAGACTGGAAGTTGTTGGGTTCCAGGACCCGACCGGCCGTTTAACTTAAGCCTGCTCTTTTTTCCTTTTGTTCGCATATGCACCCTTCTGTTAATGACGACATTGCTATGTTATCGACAGGTTTGAGTTTATTTAGACATTAGCCCCTTGCATCTCGGTAATTGCTCGTTAGTTCATTAAACTCATAGGACTCTTGCAAAAATTTCGTCTCTCTAGCCAGCATATGTTAGTTTTGAAATTGAAGGGAATGTTCTTTCAACTTCAATGATTTGAGATGCAATTTATCAATATTGAAGTCACTTTAAAAAAATTAGAGAATGGGATAAAGCTTATTATGGTTGGTGAAGTTGTTAAAGATGAGGGGGTAAAGTAGGAATCTTGCAAACTTAGTACAGATAAAATAGTTAACGTATTGAAACGATGTTTAAAATTAACTTATTGAAAAATTACCAAACAAAAAGATACGAAAAAGCTTGCTTAAAAACCTATTGACTATTAAAAACCTATTAACTATTCCGTTAAAAAAAATAGGACGTTTATTTCTTAAAATAGGAATCTTGCAAACTTAGTATAGATAGAACAGTTATTCGCTTTATACAAAAAGGGTAGGTAAACGGTGTTTAAAGTTAACTTATTGAAACAATTACCAAACAAAAAAGATACGAAAAAGCTTACTTAAAAACCTGTTGACTAAGAAATAAGGACCCCAAAAATTCTTTCAATACTTCTTAAAAAACAAGCGAACCCTATATGCTACTTAATTACAACCGGCAAAGGAAACCTTCCGCAGAAACATTTTAATCAAAATGAACAGATACACGCCACCATTCAAAATGCTCTCGATCTTCCTTTCTCTGAGAGATATTGCATGACTTGTACGTACTTAATATCACCTAATTAAGTTTGAAAAATTATCAAATAACCTCCATGACTTTAGAAATATCAGAAAACCCCTTCTTTTAAGAGTTACCGGCCGGAACACCGTAAACAACGTCACTGTAATTTTAAATGGATAAAAATACTTCTCCTACTCTTGAATGCGTCTTTGTTCCTTCTCAGTATTTCTCTATGCACATCTTGCTTAACTCAATAGGTTTCTAATTACTTTCAACTGCCTCATACCTGTCAACCATGTACAACATTTACAACCAAACGAGATACAAAAGTTTCCCAAACATATTAATAGGATATTTTACTAATTAGAACGAAGGGATTATTATTATCATAGAAATAAATTTACGACTACTAGGCTCAAGCTTCTAATTGTATGCATCTAGGCTAACGCTAATGCTTCTAATCGTACGCAACATCATCTAAGTAGAAGAAACATTGTAGTCATAATTAATATGTAAGCTGCCAACCCAATAATCTATTATCTGACGTATTAAGAATATTTTTGTGCCGCAGTCGTTCCTCTCTGAGTTTATCAGTCTTTATCTGGGTATGGATAAAATTACAGTGTCGACGTTGAAATTACTCACGGTAACAAACACTCAATGTTGTTGATTGTAAATTTACGAGCGCTGCCACCTTTCCCAACACCGGCGAGTGCTAGACACTCGCCAGTTTGCTGTGAGGGAAGGGTTGGGTCTATCTAGGCTCGGATTATAGTTGGTTTTAGGAAAAAGGGTACGCATGCAACATATTTAAACGATGTTTAAAGCCAACTTATTGAAACAATACCAAACAAATTAAAAGATACGAAAAAGTTTGCTTAAAAACCTATTGACTAAGAAATAAGGACCCCAAAAACCATATGATTGGTATTATACTCACTGCAAGCTTCCTGATTACGAACTCCATTTAACACTCCTTCTTCTCTCCAGTCCATTGAAAGCGGGATCTCCATCGTAAGCAAGGAATGAGAGATCAGTGTGAGAGTGAGAGTTTGTGTGAGAGAGAGGGGGATGGAGAGGGAGGCTAGAAATAGAGAGGAGTGGGGGAGGGTGAGAGCTGCAGAGAGAGAGAGCGCGACGGAGTGAGTAGCGCCTGCAGCAGACCTACGTACATAGTACAAGGCTTTTGCAGAGAGCTTTTTTTTTTCTTAACAAATATATAAAATAAAAACTAATTGCTTTTGCCAGAGAGTTGTTTTTCTTAACAAACAATTAAAATAAAAACTACTTGCTTTTGCCACAGAGATTTCTTCAACTTCTGATTATAGATAAAAATGGATAAAAATATTAATTTACCTTATTAATTAAAAAGTAAAAATTAATTGTTCCTTTCATTTACTATGATTTATTTTTGAAAATAATTTTAAAAAAAGATAAATAACGTGGTGTGCTAAAAGGTTATCAAATGGAAAAAAAAAACTTTGACTATTATTTTAGCATTGATCATTATTATAAATAGATTATAAATTATAGGTATAGTACAGACCATAGGTTTGTTTAAAATCTGACATGCATATGTATTCCATGACATGAATTATAATTATATGCCTAGAAATAACAACATTTTCTTAGTAAGTATAGGATGTTGATGGTCCATTTTCATAAATATCATGTTCTTGAGACTAAATTGTCAATTTCGATTAAAGAAAGTTGGTGCAAATAAGCTAAAACGAATCACAAATAACCTAGGCTAACAATCCAGTGCAAATAAGCTATATTACACATAGAAAAATTATAATGTATATAATTAGTAGAGGAAAGCTATATCACACATAGAAAAATTATAATGTATATAATTAGTAGAGGAAAGCTATATCACACATAGAAAAATTATAATGTATATAATTAGAGGAGGAAAAACTCATCTTGTGGCTAACATTATAGAAGACTGAAAGATATGTTTTGTCTTTGAAGCACCGAGATTAGCAGACAATCTTCTAACTATTTTGATGATCTAAAATTTTATATATTTATATGAAAGTGTTAGTTTCTATTATTTATTTAAATGTGTGCTAATATGAGAGTGTTAATTAAATGTTGTATCATTATTCATCAAAGGATTGACTAACTACATAATTAATTAAGTGTTGTACCATTATTCATCAAAGGATTGACTATCTACATTACTACTGAGAAAAATAGTCAATCTATATATTGTTTAGATAATCTTGTACTTGCATTCTAAAAACTATGTAATAATATTTGAAAGAAGCAACTTATGAATGAATTGAATTGTTATGTGAGAATGTCACATAGATATTCAATGTAGCTAAGTTAAATACTTCTAATTGCATTAGGGTATTATTAATTTAATTACTTCAAAGGCGTACAAATGAGTTATAAATCAACTAATGACTCATGTCCTTCTTGCATTTTTTTAATTGAGAGAGAAAAAGTAATAAGAGTGAGGGGGGAGAGAGAGAGGGGATAGGGCAAAGATATTTTCCTCAAATCACGAGACAAATCTTAAGTGAGAGAGAAAAAACCGGTGGTGTGGGTGGGGGTGGGTGGGGTGGGGGGGGGGGGCAGACGTCGTTTCCCATAAAAGATGCACGCGGGTGGAGGGCAGGGAGGCACAAGGACACGGTATTTCTCTTGGAACATATGTACTAAATCATAAAGAGCCAACGAGTTATTTAGTCTAGGGCGCCTTACCATTTTGATATTTCATCGTACTTGATGTAAATAATCAGTATTTAATGTGAAATTTTAAGTTATAATTGTATGAGTTGTTAATTTATAACGGTTATTTTTTGTGAACCTCGTGGGATTAGTGGGGCCACGCGCCACGTGAGTAGCTGCAACAGCACGAAGAAAGTCAG